TTTTGGGCAGAGTCAAGCATGTTGGGTCTCAAGATCACCTACTTTGCACTGATGGATGGAAAGGTCTATGATATCACAGGTACACTTCTGACCTCTAAATACAAGATCATATTTCTTCATCTCATTTGCTATGAATGGATGTTTTGGGTAATTACCTCTATTTGCAGAGTGGGCTGGGTGCCAGCGTGTGGGAATCTCTCCAGATACCCACAGAGTTCCTTATCACATCTCATTTGGTTCTCGGGTACCGGGCCCCAGTGGTCGGCAGAGGTAGGTGGTACTTTTCTTACTTATCTGTTATTTCAGTTGTGAGTATAGTTTTAGATGCCTAGCTCTCTAGGGGGTTTGGAAACTGATCCAGTATGTGGTTAATTTTGATAGTTGATTGTAATGTCTCCCTCAGGGCCACGCCAGAGACACCTCCTACTGACCTGCAGGATTTCTTGAGCCGGATCTTTCAAGTACCCCCCGGGCAGATGTCCAATGGGAACTTCTTTGCAGCTCCTCACCCTGGTCCTGGGGCCACTACGACCTCCAAGCCCAACAATACAGTACCCAAGGGAGAAGCCAAACCCAAACGGCGGAAGAAAGTGAGGCGGCCCTTCCAACGTTGACACCCTTCTCTTCCTTCCTCAAATCAATGTCAGGGAGTCAAAAGGGCTGTGTACAGCACAGGATGGATTTGATTTGTTTATTTTTTAAATACTTTAAAAAGGGAAAATTTTAAATTGTCCACTCAGTACTTGGAGGAAGTTCATGACCTATTCTCCCTCTTCCCAACACCTAGGAACTGAACCTGTCTTCTGACAATACCAAAGAAATAGAAGGTGGCTAGAGCAAAGAGAGTAGGCTCTGGACCCAGTCCAGTCAGTACGTTCCTGAGGTGTGGGAGCTGGGGCTTCTCTGGGTCCTGTATGCCTTTATCTTATCATTTGCTCTCAGAGCAGAGCAAATGATACTCACCCTTTTTAAAATGAGTGTATCTTATGTCTTAACCCATTTCAAGGGTTCCTCCCCCTTTACCCTGATGTACTAGTTAAAAGAAAAAGCATGTAGCCCTAATTTTGGTGATACAGAATTCAGAGTGGAAACTGAAGTTTTCCTCTGACTTTCACTTTATGGGACACCACCTAACTTCAGGCTTGTTGTTGCAAGGATGGCCAAAATTAATTTTTAAAAAACAGACTTATGCCCTGTGCCCTTGGGTGAGGGGGAAGCATAGAGGGTTCCCAGAGGCCCCCGTGTGAGCCAAGGGTTTGTATTTTTTTAAGTTTGTTCATGTTTGTATGTACATATCTATTTAAAGCCAGGGGATTATCTTTCTATAAATATATAACTGGCAACTATTTTCCTTCTTTTCTTTGCCCATGTAGCTTGAGTCCTTTTGTTTTCCTGGAGACAGTCTCACTAAGTGGACCCGGCTGGCCTCCAGCTTGCAGTGATTCTTCTGCCTCTGCCTCCAGAGGGCTGGTTACAGGCCTGTGCCTCCACACCTAGCTCAGGAGCACTTTTTGCTTATTTAAGAATTCTTTCCTTGCCGTTAGCTGACAGTGAAGGATACCCTGTTTTAGATCAAAGGAGTAGTGATAAAAATTTGCTTAATTTTTTTTTATGGTGAGTCAGAATTCCATTTCTTCCCCAGCATTATGAGAACATCTCTATTCTTCTTGCTTATCAAATTTCAGTCATAACTGAAAAGACTTTATTTTAAGGAAAATATACAGCAAAACATAACTTAAAGGTGGTATGTTTGTAAAACATGGAAAACATAATCACCAGACAAGCTGACCAAGTGTGGATGGCTTCTTGCTGTACAGAGAAGAGTGGCGTGGCCCTTAACCTCGTCTACCTTTCCTGATTCAGAGAATCTCGACCCTGTTAAGTCTGGGCCCAGGAACCCCATTTTCCAACTTCTTCCTTCTTGGAGTTTAGATAGGTTTGTCTTATCTCTCAGGCTTCCAAGATACTTGAAGATAGTATGGAGAAGGGAAAACAATTATGTCTCTTTGTTCCAGTGCCTTCCCTCAGTGCCTGCAGAGCTATCAACCCATTTTTCAGTATTTGTTGATTCCAAAGAGACGGACCCCGTGGAATTGGGGCAGCTTAGGTAGCAGGACGCTGAGCAGTGAGGCAGTGTTGATGATGAAATGCGCAGCGTCGTACTTGGTGTAGAAGCTGGCCAGCAGGTAGCTAGGGAGAGAAAAAGAAAAGGGTGACAAGGTTGGTCTTCCGCCCCACAGTCATGCCTTTCCAGTGCTTTTCTTTTCTATTTTGAATTGCTAGTTGTATTGTCCTTTGTAGTTCAAAGCTTCTCTAGCTAACTCAACAGTATTTAATATGAGGTCTAGGGTATAATCAGAAGGCATCTTTAACTAGAGATTATAAATCAGTTGTTTGCTAATGTTGTCTCCTTCCCTCCCCCCCCCCCCCCAAGAGCTGAGGACCAAACCCAGGGCCTATGCTTGCTAAGCAAGTACTCTACCACTGAGCTAAATCCCTGACCCCTGTTTGCTAATTGTTAATGATAAATTGCAAATGGCAGCCAAAGCTGTTTCAGCCTGTGTGACTTTTGGAGCCCTTTTTGCTTCCTTTCCTCAAATTAGTTTTAACACTTAATATCAGTTCTGCCTTTACCTATTTGCTTCTTTGGGGACTGTAAAATCACTTGGATTTAGACAGGAGCTTTGTTACAGTCCCTTTTCCCTTTCCTTATTACCATGGAACTAACAAGGAATGTTTGACTATTATCTTGTACTTTATAGTACTATTCCCTTTAGACTTAGGACTAGTGTACTGTGTGTGCGCACGTGCATGTGTGTAGGTACACATTCAATTCATGTGTGATAGTTTTGGGGGCAGTTTTTTTTTTTGGGGGGTCCCTGAAGTGCAGTTCTTTGGCTAGACTGGCCAGCAAGCCCTAGGGATCTTCCTGCTTCCAGCTCTTCAGTGTTGGAATTATAGGCACCCATAAATGCTGGGGGTTGAACGCAAGTCCTTATGTTTGTATGGTAAGCACCCAACCAAGCCATTTCCCATAGAGCCACTTCTGACCCAGCATTTCCTCTACCCCCAGACTCACAGTACAATAGGAGAGATGCTAAGGAACTTTCGGGAGGAGGTAAATTGTAGTCCATAGTCCATCTGCTCCCAATGTGTCAAAAGCCGAGCCTTTCCTTGGTCAGGGGTCTCAAAAGGTGTTCCTTTCACTGTATGTAGGAAGATATACATTGCCTGGGAAAAGGGAAAGGGACAGTATGAGGGCTAGAAAGTAGTTCTTTGGGTCAAGAATTACGCTAAGATCCCAAAAGGAAGACATAAATTCCCAAACAGTTGGTGACTTTGTTTTGTTTTGGTTGGGATAGACCTGGGTTGGGTACAAGGGTGTGGTTTAGTGCTCACCAAGTTATGGATGACGTTGGTCAGGGTCCAGACAACAGGAATGCTGAAGAAAGGGATGCTGAGTAGAACCACATGCAGCAGTCCTACCAAGATGATGTAGGCCAGCCAGATGCCCCGACTATTCATCACTCGAGTGTTGGGGTTTACTTCGCTGTGTGCCACCCCCACATTCATCCTACCACAATGAGGGGTCAGGCAGGAGTCCAACTCAAGTTCCTCTTAACCCTGATTGAGCTGGTTCCCTGGTGTCTCCTGAAAAGCCAAAATCCCCTGAACTCTAGGGAATGAAAGAATTTCTCTATCATAAAAAAGGGGGGGGGGGAGCTGAAGACTTCGTTAAAACTTGAGAAGACATGAAGCAGCTGGGTGTGGTGCTTGTCATCCTGTACTTGGGAGGGTGAGGCATGAGGGCTATCCTGGGCTAAAGTCAGATTATTTCTCCAAAACAAACAAAAAAGCAAGAGGGTCTTCGAAATGGCTAAGCTGGAGAAGGCATTGGTCACCAAGCGTAAAGACCCACACAGTGGAAGGAGATCCTGCAAGCTGTTCTGAATTCCACAACTGCCATTATTAGTGTGCATACCCACACAAGTGGTTTGTTTTGTTTTTAAGGAAAAAAAAAGTTCCTCACTACTATAGAAACCTGGTAATTTTTACTCCGATCCTTACAGTTCAACTCTAACATGAAGCAGTAAGCTTAGACTGTGACACTCACTTGAAGCACCAGAGAAATCGGGAGTATTTTTAATTTCCTTTCTTGAGAAACTTACTGAATCAGAGATGTCACCCACACCCAGAGTTCCGCAAGAAAGTGATGCAGTTAATCAAGGGTCCAATAAGAAGTCACGCTACCTCCAGTCCTCATCTTTTACTGGGGCTTGTCTCTCCTGTCTCTCACCCTCATGGTCTGTCAACAGCCGGTACCCTCAGCTCTCCAGAAGCGTGGGGCGCAGCAAGAACTTAAGCCAGTTTTTTAAAATTAGTCTAGGAAGGGATCTGAGCTCAGTCCCTCAAGAAATAGAGCCCTCTCCCTTCTAGGGGCGCTTTTGGCATTTAAATTCACGGTAACTGTAATGCCTATTTTTTACCTGCTCTTGCCTGTCCCCAAATCTAGTACCGAGTCCGCCCATGCTCCTCCCAGAGTCCCACTTTCGCACGTCAGTTTGCGGCTCTCTTCACGGGAACTCGTATTCGCCGCCGCCCTTCCTTCCCAATATTCCCATCAGTTCCGCTCGGTAACCTTTTTCAAGTTCCGCGCAGCCCCTACCTGCCAGCTTCAGAAGCCCGGACCGTCCGGCTGGGGCACAGCGGGGCGCTCACACCTGTGGTCTCCAGGAAGTGGCCGCCTTTCGCCGTCTGCGCTCTCCCTATTGGTGGGACAGAATCCGCGGCGTCCCCAGTCATTGGCTGGCTCTGCAGTGGGCCGTGCAATTGGCCGCCTTTGCTATCGTTACTTATGCGAGCCCCGCCCTCTCCCGGGTCCACCCTTTCAGCGAGCCTCGGAAAGCGGCCCAGAGGCGTGAGAGCGACGCCGCCACTGACCAATAGGGAGAGCCGTTGGTGAGAGGTGGGAGTAAGAGCGGCAGCGATTGGTTGACTGAGCCTAGGCTCCTGGGGACGGGGCCGGCGCCGGGGTCTGGTGGAGTGAGGCGCAGCAAGATGGCGACCGAGACGGTGGAGCTCCACAAGCTGAAGGTACCGTTGCTCGGGCAAGGCTGAGCGGGGCTGTTCTGGAGCCCGAGTTCCGCACGGGGCCCTGCGCAGCCCGCCCTCCACGTGTCTCTGTGCTAGACGCTTGCACTTCTTCCCTGGGTGCTGCTGTGTTCTGTGCCTCCCTCCTCAGGCCCGCCTGAGACCCCGTTCCTCCCCAGGACCGCGCTGCTCTCTTTCCCCGCTGTTTCGGCTCTCTTCTAATTGTCTTATTTTCTATCACCCTTCCCCACCCGCCCTGGAGCGCCTTCTGTTCTTTATGCTCGCCTTTCTCATTAGGTCTGCATTACGTCAGTGGCCCTTCCCCCGTGGCCCACGCGAACCCGAAATTACGTTTTCTTCTCAGATTGTTGACACTGTTCACCTGTCGTCCTAAACCCGAGATTTCCCAGTTAGCATACAGTGGCACGTTTGCACGTTTACCTGGACGTGTTCGGGACAGCCCAGAAAAGGTTTCCATTCTGAGTGGGTGGAGTTACGCCCCCGGACTGGAGTTTTGAAACCGAGGAGAGGCTTTGCTCAAGATCGGTTTGCCCGGTGGAAGCCTGGGGCAGAGGCAGCTCCAAGAGTTAGCAAAATGACACATCAGCCCTAACGTGTTTTTTTTTTTTTTTTGAGTTTTCTCAGGAGGTTCTCAGCCCGCTGCCCTCGCTGTCCTTCCCACCCCGAAAGAGAACGTATAGCTGTAGTGTTTTGGAAATACGTGAATTGTGTTTGCAAACGTTAGGATTTTGCTTGTCGTCTTTATCATAGGGAAGGACCCTGGGTCTCTTATTGTCACCGGTTTTATTTATTTATTTATTTAAGATCTATTCCTTGTTTACGGGTATGTGTCTGTGTGCATGTGTGATGCTTGCCCAAGGAGGTTGGAGAGGGTGTTGGAGCCGGGAGCTGGAGTTACAGGCAGTTGTAAGCAGCCCCACGTGGTGCTGCGAACAGAGCTTGGGTCCTCTACAAGAGGAGTAAATGCTCTTAACCTCTGAGCCATTTCTCCAGCACTCCTTGGTGTCACTTCTTGGTGACACTCTGAACCATAGAACCTTTATTTTGAGTTGTAAAATTTGGTAGTCGTGGTACTTATATGTAGACTTCTATTTCGGTGACCATTCTGTAAGGACAGTAATTCTTTTTTTAGGAAGAATGAAGAAGCTATGTTAATTGATTATTGTTTGTGTTTTCATAAGTAACTTTGTCATTAGTTGTTTTGGTTCAGGGAACCTGGTACAAATCAAACTTAGTAAAAACTAAGAACTGTTCTATTTATTTATTGAGACAGGTTGTCACTATGTAGCTCTAGCTGACCTGGAACTCAGAGATCCTCCTACATCTGCCCCAAGAGTTGAGATTAAAGGCATTCACCATCAAGTCCGTTTTTGTTTGTTTTGTTTTTGTTCTTATTTTGTTGCTGTTTTATTTTAATTGTTGGATTGTGATGATTTTTCAAAAAGATTTATCTGTGTGTATGGTTTGTTTGTGTGTGCCTACTCAATTACAGATAGTTGTTAGTCTCTGTGTGTGCTGAGAATTAAACCTGGGTCCTCTGAAAAAGCAGCCAGTGCTCTTAACTGTTGAACAATTTCTCCAGCCCTGAAAACTTCTCTCTCTCTCTTTTTTTTTTTTTTTTTTTTTTTCATAAAACTTGATAATTGGGTCTGGAGAAATGGCTTAGTGGTTAAGAGCACTTGCTCCTCTGGAGGACCTGAGTTTGGTTTTCAGCACCTTAGTCAAGTGGCTCACAACCACCTGAACACCAGCTCCAAGGGATCTGATGCTCTTTTCAGGTGTCCCTAGGCACCTACCTGTTCCTGTGTGACACACACACACTTTAAATCTTGATTTTTTTTTGGTCTTGCTTTAAAAGGTGTAAGTGAAGTGTGTGTGTAGAAAAAGTCCCTGTAATTTAGTCTGTCCCGATGGCATCACTTCTTGACAGCAAATAATGTTTCTTAATTATTGGACTCTCAACTTCATTAGTGGATTTCTATGTTTAGTTATTGTTAACTTGATGGTGCTGAAATGAATTATTAGTGGTTTCCAAATGATTACTTGAACAAGTAAGAAAAATTTAGCAACTGCCTCTATTTTATTTACCTGTATAAGTTCTGTAGTTTTGTACTGTTATACATATTACAAAATACACACAGAAATTAATTTTTAGGTAAAAATTAGTGGGATACCTGATATTTTCTTGTTTGTTCCCTTTTTGAAATCCTGGAGTAAGTCACTAGTTGTTCTATGACTTTCCTTTATGGATATTGTATTTGTTTAAGGAGTTCCTCCTTCCATCATATTAATATTTGTTAGTCCAATAAATTTACATTTGATTGACTAAATCCCATCTAATGTCTTCTGACCTGATTTCAGGTACTGTCTATTCGTAAGAGCACCTGAGGCGTTCTGAGGGCCTAAGCAGGACTTACTCTTTAATCACATTTGCTTGTCTTTGCTTTTTCTCTAGAGCACTTCTTAAACTTTTGGAGGTCACAGATATCTTTGAAACTCTGATGAAAGGTATGGACCCTCTCCCCAGAAAAAGGCATGTACAGTACTTTGCATGCGAGTTAAGAGGCTCCATAAAATTACCTTGTAGCCCTGAGGAGTCCGTAGACCTCTGGTTAAGAACCCATATAAATTCTGGCTTTGAAGACAAATGTTAGGCTCTATAATGTTGATCTTGATTGAATAGTCTGACTTTTTGGATTGACTTAGAGTTTTTATTTTATTTCATTTATCTTTGAGACAGAGTTTCTATTGTAGCTTTTACTGGCCTAGAACTCAGTGAGATCTGCCTGCCTCCAACTCCCAGTGCTAGGTTTAAAGGTAGGTGCCATGTTACCCAGCTGATTTAGAGTTTTTACTACCTTAAACAAACCAACAAACCACTTTCCACTGGGTGGTGGTGCACACTTTCAATCCTACTACTTGGGAGGCAGAGGCAGGCAGATTTCTATGAGTTCAAGGCCAGCCTGGTATACAGAGTGGGTTCTAGGACAGCCAAAGCTCAACACAGAAAAACCCTGTCTTGAAAAATAAAGAAACAAAACAAAAACCATCAACTCTTTCCAAGCTGGTCATAGTGGTGCAAGTCTCTAGTTCTAGCACTGGGAGGCAGAGGCAGGTGGGTCTCTGGGAGTTCCAGGCTAGCTTGGTCTACATAGTGAGTTCCAGGACAGCCAGGATGACATGGAAAGACCCTGTCTCAAAAAACCAAAGCTCTTTCCATTTATCTATCTATCTATCTATCTATCTATCTATCTATCTATCTATCTATCTATTGGTTTTTTTTCGAGGTAGGATTTCTCTGTATGGCTTTGGAGTCTGTCCTGGAACTCTCTCTGTAGACCAGGCCGGCTTGAACTCAACAGAGATCCGCCAACCTCAAGCTCTGGGATTAAAGGCATGCACCACCAATACCGGGCCTTCTTTTCATTTGTATAATGATAAATTGGGACTTTAACTTTAGTTCAGAGAAAAGATAGCTTTGAAGTGTGAAGGATAAAAACATGTACATTGATATTTAAGTCCATATCAAGTGCAAATGTATGAATCTTGTGGCAGTATAGTCATTCTGACTCAGTTGGAAAGACTGAACTGTGGTTGAGACTGTCTTGAACTGTAACAACCAGAGTTATAATTAATCATGATAAAAGGAACTCTACAGTACTGAGAACTAGAAGGTATATAATAGTACTGAGAACTGAAGTATTTGCGTTACTGAAACATGAAACATTTTTGTTGCTAGTTTGGAAAGTTAGTAAAACTGTGGCTATAAAAGTAAATTGGAGTGGCTTTGAAAAGTTCTTGTTTTTTGTTTTTTAATTTGTATGTGTTCCTTTGTATGAATGCAGGCATACACATTGTGTAAGTCAGAGGACAGTCTCTAGTGTCCATTTTTACCTGCCACCTTGTTTGAGACAGGATCTCCTCTTGTTCCATGCCGCCTGTGCCAGGCAGTTGGCCTCTCAGCTTGTTAGGATCCTTCTGTATCTCCTTCACCTCTTTGTACTAGGGTTACATGCTACCTCAGCTGATGTTATGTAGGCTCTGGGGTCAAAACTCAAGTCCTGCCAAGCTTTCTTTACACCCTCTTCTCTTTGTGCAGGTTGAGATCTGGCTTCTCTCTAGCTCAGACTAACCTTAGTCTCAAGGTGACCCTTAACTCAGACAAAAGGAGCCTTTTGTAACTGCTCTGGTTTTCCTGGAACTCACTCTGTAGACCAGGCTGGCCTTGAACTCACAGAGATCCACCTGTCTTTGCCTCCTGAGTGTTGGGATTAAAGGCATGCTCCACCACACCTGCCCAAGAGTCTTTTTAAGTTGTATAAGCAGTTTTTATTTGTGTGTATGTGCATGTGTGTGTGTGTAAAAATAGTCCTGTTATATAACCCATGCTTGTTTAGAGTTCATGACCCCCTGCCTCCATCACCTCTCAGGTGTTGGGATTATATGAGATGTAACTTGTTCAATAGGAGGCAGCAGTGTATTAACTACTCAGTCATCTCTCAAGCCTTGAGCATTTTTATTTTTCGTAGCTATAGCATAGGTAGGGAAGCTTCGGAAAATCTGAGGAAGAGCCTGATAGGATCAATTTATGTTCTGAGGATGGGCTCTAGGGGACAGACTTGCCTGGTTAGGACTATATTATAGATACTCTCCTATACTGCCTAAGAGGACTTTTTAATCTCTCCTAGTCTCCTCATTCTACACTATCATCCTAAACTACCATGAATGATTTTGTTCTTTATTTGCTAACATATTTGCTATGTGGCAAACACCTATTGATGACTAAATTAGCTGGTTTAATTCTCATGATAACTCTGTAAAGTAAAATGCTTCTATATCCTCATTTCAAAAGAAAAACAGGCCCTGAAATAGTAATTGATTTGCCCTAGTTCTAATATGCCCTAGTTCACTTATTACAGCTAATAAGCACCTTGTCTCCAAAATTCACAATTTTATTTAAAATTTTCACTTTATATTTATATTGTGTGTGTGTTAGTGTGTGAACATGGGCTTGCTTGTGCCATGGCATACACGTGGACATCAAAGGACAACTGTTGGGAATTTTTTCTCTCCCTCCACAGTGAGATCGATGGGTAGAACTCAGGTTGTTGGACTGGTATGTCGGATGAACACTTTTTACCTGCTGAGCCAGAAGAGGATGTACAGCTGGTGGAACAAACCAGCTGTAAACTTCTGTGTGAGTGCTGGGAATCAAGCCTGGGCCCTCTTGAAGAGCCAACAGTGCTCTTAACCACTGAACCATCTCTTTAGCCCTCACATCTTTTTAAAACCAATTTTAAATTACTGTGTGTGTGTGTGTGTGTGTGTGTGTGTGTGTGTGTGTGTGTGTGTGTGTTAGGGTGGGTTGTGCCATGTCAGGATTCTCTTTCCACTATGTAGGTACTTGGGCACTCAGATCATCAGGCTACTTTGTGTAAACACTTTTAATTCAGTACTTTGGAAGCCGAGGTAGATAAATTACTGAGTTCATGTGGCCAGCCTTGTCTGCATAGTGAGTTCCAGAACAACCAAAGCTATGTAGAGACAATATGAGGTTTCAATAAAAGAGACACCCCCCTTTTTTTTTTTTGAGAGTATTTTTTAGAAAACAAAACAAAAAAAGAGTCAAGCCAGGCTGTGGTGGCACACACCTTTAATTCCTGCCTTCCGGAGGCAGAGGCAGGTGGAGCTCTGTGAATTTGAGGCCAGCCTGGGATACAGAGTGAGTTTAGGACAACCAGGGCTGTTACACAGAGAAACCCTGTCTTGATGAAACAACAACAACAAAACCAGAGCCTTGCTATGTAGCCTAGGTTGACTTGGAACTCTGTGTTGTTCTGGCTGGCCTTAAACTCATGGTCTTCCTGCCTCTACCTATGAGTGCTGGGATTATAATAAGCCTGAGCCATTATGCTTAGTTTACTAGTTTAAATTTCATAGTTGTCCTATAGAATTTGCTCTAGTATTCCCATTTTATAGGAACCCGAAGCATAGGGACTATAAGTTACTTTCCAGTAGTGTATAGATGTAGGTGGTAAAGGTAGAATTTAAACCTAGCTTGTTTTTAGTGTGGCCTCATTGTCTTAGTGAGCTCCATCTGTCATGTATGTATGCATGTGTATGTGAGTGGACATTGTGTGCATTCATACATACAGAGTCCCAAGGTGGATTTTAGATATTTTTCTCAATTTTCACCTTATATGAGGATCCCAAGAGCAAGCTAGCAGCTAGATTTACTAGCTAATAGCCAAAATGTCAAGTTCTGAGTTCAAGTGAGAAATCCTGCCTCAATATATAAGGTGAAAGTAATTGAGGAAAATATCTAAAGCTGTAAGCTGTCAGGCCAATAAGCCTGGATTACACAGTGCAGTGGCAAATGAGAAACTCTGCCTCAAATAAGGTAGAAGGTATAGACTGACATTAGGGTTGTCCTATGATCTCTACATTGTGGTAGGATATGTGCACATCTCTACACATGAAAATGAACACAAACACAAGTATTTTAAAGAGTGTATGTATATCCATTCCAGGAAAGCTATTACAAAGTTTATCAGAGATCTATAATTTCAGCTATGTATAATCTATACTTAATTTTGGTGGTAACTTTCCCTGAAAACCTAATGTCCTTATCATTTTGCTTTTTCTTAATATTTATTTTTATGTGTATGAGTGGTTTGCCTGCATGTATGCACACCATGTTTGTGCAGTGCCCTTAGGGGCCAGAAGAGGGAGGTGGATCCCCTGAAGCTGGAGTTAGTGATGGTCATGAGCCATGTAGGTGCTGGGAACTGAACCTGAGTCCTCTGCAAGAACAGTGAGTTGTCTTTACTGCTGAGCCATTTCTCCAGCCCCAACAGGGTGGTTTTTTTGTTTTTGAGATGGTCCCACTATGTCACCATGGCTGTCCTGGAACTCACAGAAATCCGCCTGCCTCTGCCTCCTGAGTGCTAGAATCAAAGGTGTGCGCCACCAGTGCCCGGCTTCTTATATGTTCTTAGGGTTGACCATTGGTATTGATAATCAGTTGTGCCCTTCTCTGGGGGAAGACTGTCTCCCACTCTGATCATTCCTTAGTTGCCTGTAGTTGTCTGTGTGGTGTTGAGGGTCCTAGTCTTGTCCATGTTAGTGTGTTTATTGTTGCCTTTGTTCAGTTCTTGTTAGGTAGTCCTGTTAACTTCATGAGTGCAGTTTCTGACATTCCTAGGACACATAATATCACAGCAAACTTAATTTTTTTTTTTTTAAAAAAAAATTATGTGTCTATGTGTGGGCATTGTACATGTGATGCAGGTGGCCAAAGAGGCCCCAGGAGGAAAGAAGAGGTTGTTAAATTCTCTATAGCTGGAGTTACAGGCACTTTGAAACTTCTGATGTGGTTGTCTTCTTGGTTTTGTCACTTCCCAGCACTATTCCTTCTAAAGTCTGTGCGATTGGTAAGTATATATTTGTACAGATTTAGAAAGCGTGTGCCCAGTAGGCATGAAGACAGTGTAACAGTGGAATGGGTGGAAGTGCATAGCTCAGAAGCCTGGGTCCCCAGGGTTGTGACCCCTAAGTCACTTAAGTAGGAGCTACCTACTCCTACATTTGCATATCGTGCATTTCTTAGGTGTGCTCTGTTCCTTACAGGTAGTCCTCATGAGGAAGGATTTCCAATCTTTTTACCATCTGACTTCTTTCATATGTTAATATTTTAAAATGTTTTTATCAGCATATATTAGTTTTTTATGAAAATGAGTCTCATGCATCTTTATACATGTATGTAATGTGTTTTGAACATATTTAGGTTCTCTTGCCCCTTTCCAACTCTGAATAATCCTTTTCGTAACTAGTCCCCCTTCTACTTACATGGTTTGGTTTTTTTCCTGTGACCCAGTGAGTTTCATTAGGGTAGGGTTGTCTTTATAAGAACACCAGTGAAGAGTTTCTTTATGGGAACATGGGCACTTACCAATGGTTACACCACTGAAGAAATCCTTTATGTGCCATTAACTGTGTAAATCCACAGAGAGGATCTCCAGGTTCTCCCTGCTCTTCCATGGCAAGGAGTTCATGTGGTGGAATTTTGTGCAGGTCTGGTGCAGGAAATCAGTCATAGCTGTTGTGTGATTTAAATTTTTTAATAGGGCTGGGTTATATATAGCTCTAGAGGTAGAGTAACTGTTGAGCCTTGATATACAGCAACAGCAAAATAGAAACCTAAACACTATGCTATGGGAGGGGGTTGAATTTCCTTTGTGGTGATATAGATAGATCCTTTAGTTAGGCCATTGTTGACATTAAGCCAGCTAACACATCAGTCTAATTCTTCAGTGATTATTTTTATAGATGTGTGTATGGTATATTGTAATAACACTTTTGGGATAATAGGTTATTTATTAGGCAGTTTTCTACCATCATAACAAAATACCCGAAGCTGTACTTTATAAAGAACTGAGATTTATTTTCCAACTTTGGAGACCAAAAGTCCCAATTGCATAATTGTCCTGGTAACAGGCTCATAGTAAATGACATGATGGTGGTAGCAATTTTGAGGAGAGATCACATGGCAGGATCTAAAGCCAGAGGTTAGGGAGAGTTCAGGACAGGGTTCAAGCTGACCTAACTCTTGGTCTTCCTGCCTCCACTTCCCAAGTGCTGGGATTACAGGCCCATACCCAACTACTCTTATACTTTTCTGTGAACCCGCCGTTTGGAGAGTTGACCGAGAGAACTATATTAATTCTTTCCTAGGGTAAATCCTCCTTTCATGTCCTAAACACTTCCCAGTAAGCTCCATGTTTTGGTGGGTGTTTTTGCTGGCCTTAAATCTGGGATCCTCCTGCCACTAGGTCAGGCTCCTTCACATTTTGTTGCTGTTTTTCAAGACAGGGTTTCTCTGTGTGCTTTGTAGACCAGGCTGGCCTTGAACTCACAGAGATTGTCTGTCTCTGCCTCCCCAGTGATGGGATTAAAGGCCTGTGCTACCACTGCCTGGCGTGTTTACCTCTTAGTAGTCCCAGCACAACTACACTGAGGACCAGGCTTCTGACACAGAAACTGTGTTGGAACGACACACTTCTCGTATCAAGCCATAGCTGGTTAGTAGGGAGGATCCACTGGATTTTCTGACTGAAGATTGACATACCCCCCCCCATGTTGTTGGCAGAGTAATCTTTTAGAACTGTCCCCCCCTTAGTTATTATTAAAAACAACAACACAAAACAGTTGCACAAATAGATTACAATTTTACTTTTAAGTGTGTGTTTTTGTTTTGTTTTGTTTTTTTCTTCAGTGTATGTTAGAAAGTCCTACTGTATATTGAATGTTAAAGGAAAAGTAAGCTACCATTGTGAATTCAGCGTCTTGGTTAGGGATAGTACTTGCAAGTTGGGAATTGACCATCATCATTATTATCATTTTCTCTTTTGTGAGAACCACCTCTTTTCATCCATACGAATTAAAGAAGTTGTTCGTTTGTTTGTTCTTTCCCCAGCTTGCTGAACTAAAGCAAGAATGTCTTGCTCGTGGTTTAGAGACCAAGGGAATAAAACAAGATCTTATCAATAGGCTCCAGGCGTATCTTGAAGAACATGGTGAGTACTTTGTGGAGGGAACATGATGTGAGTGAAGCAATAAGTTTCAAGCTCTGACACTCAAAAGATTTCTTCCTTTCTTAGGTCATTGGTGATGTAAGGTCTAAATTAACAACATCAAGAAAACTTTTAGAGATGGCCATGGTGGCTCATGCCTCTAATCCTTGCACTTGGGAGGCAGAGGCAGGAGGATCGCCTCAAGTTCAAGGCCAATCTGATTTGCAAAGTAAGAGTCTATCCAAGAAAAAAAAAAAAAAAACCAAAAAACAAACAAACAAAAAAACCAAAAACACAAAAGGTACTGTTGGCTGAGCAGGATGTGGTAGTACATGTCTGTAATTCAGTACCCCATAGGCAGAGGCCTGAGAATCAGGAGTTTGAGGCCAGCTCATGCTACAGAGTGAGACTCTGTCTCAACAAAACAAGACAAAAATTTGTGTATTAAGATATTTTTGTTTTATACTAAAGAGATAGGATCTTGTCATGTTGCCTCTTGGCTGTGATTATTTTACCGTGTTATTTAAAAATCTGCATGGAGGGGCTGGAGAGATGGCTCAGTGGTTTAGAACATTTGTTGCTCTTGCAAAGGACTTGGATTCAAATTCCAAGCACCCACATGGTGGCTCACAACCATCTGTAACTCCAGTTCCTGGGGATCTGATGCCCTCTCCTAGGGCACATGATGTATATACATAACATGCAGGCAAAATACTCCTACATACAAAAAGTAAAACAAGTAATATTTTTAAAAATTAGCCAGTCCTGTAATCCCAGCTGCTTGAGGCTGAGGCAAGGGAATCAAAGTTTGAGGCCCATTTGAACAACTTGGTGAGGCTATACCTTAAAAAAAAATACATGTATTCATATATGCCTATATCATACATACATACATACATACATACATACATACATACATACACACACACATGTATAATGCTGTCACTAATTTAAGAGTTTGAAGGTATTGGGCAGTGGTGGCATGCCTTTAATCCCAGCACTTGGGAGGCAGAGACGGGTGGATCTCAGTGAGTTCAAGGCCAGCCTGGTCTACAAAATGAGTTCTAGGACATCCAGGACTGTTACAGAGAGTCTTTAAAAACAAAAACAAAACAAAACAAAAAAAAAAAGTTTGAAGGCTTTAATTTTAGCCTATGTTGTGCAAAAGTTCTCTAAATATGTTTGGACTATCATTGTTTACATAGCTAAGTGTTTATCTTTCACAATATCAAAGACAAGTGTCTGGACCCTTCAAATCCTAAACTAGGTAATCTCTGGTTCCTCCTCAACCTCATATCCCCCAATTCTGCCTTGAAAATATAGAATAGCGCTCCTCTCACATAAGGTGCACATCATCATCCCAGTTTGTACACATCTTTCTAAATTGTATTTATTCTCTTTTATTCCCATTCTTCATTTCACTTCCTTTCAATACTCTGAGACATCTATTCTTATGTATCTGATATATTCAAGGTACGTTTAGGGGTAGGAGAGATAAGGGCATTTGCTGTGCAAGCATCAGGACCTGGCTTTCTGCCAGCAGACTAGCTCCAGGTTCAATGAGATATCCCATCTCAAAGGAATAGGTGGAGCACAGTTGAGCCGAGCACCTTACAGCCCCACTGGTGCACGTGTACACATATATCCACCACACCACACACATAGTCTTACAGACACATGAATCAACATATAACACAGGTTGCTTAGTACAGTATTTTAATTTCTATCATTGGTAATGAGTTCACAGCCTTTATGTCTCATCTATGTCTATATTTTCTTTTAAAGTTGTATATATGGGAGATCTCTGGAGGTGGTCTAGTGGGTAAAGGGCTCTTGCTGTGTAAGCATGGGAACCTCAGCTGTGTATCTATGCAGGGTTCTAACCTCAGCCCTGGGGAGTAGCAGTGGGTAGATTTCTGGGAGCTTAATGTCTGGAGAGCTCCAGGTTCAGGGAGAGACACTGTCTCAAGGGTATGGAACAGACCATGTCAGAGCAGGATGCTTACCTTTTCTGAACTCCACACATACATAGGTGTACTCACCTACATACATACTCACACACATGCACAGAAACAAACTAAAGCTTGTATCTGTGGCATGAGGTTTTGTGGTTATTTGCTTTATTCATTCCATTTCTAAAGTGGCATTCTGTGATACATAGTCACTGCATTAAAATTTTTATATTTATGTGTATGTTTGTGTATATGTACATATGCCTTGGTGCACATCTAAAAGTCACATGACAGCTTGCAGGGTCAGTTTTCTTCTTCTATCATGTGATCCTAGGGATTGACTTCATGTTACTAAGCTTGGTAGCAAACATCTGAGCCATCTCATCAGCCGAATCACCACGTTTTTTGTTCCATTCCTTGATAGTCACCTAGCGGATTTAATGCCATTAGTATGTAATTATATATAGTACTATATATTACAAATTAATATTTTGTAATATTCTCTTATGAACTGTTTTTCTCTATGTGCCTGTGAAATTATATAGTCTATATCCAGATTAGGATTATAATGATTATATGTCCACAAATGTATAAATACTTAATATGATTGAGCACTACCAACTTGCTTCCTAAAATTGCCTTATAAATCTATATTCTTCATTAGGATATGGTGACTCTTTTCCTTTTTTGTTCTTTTTGTTTGTTTGTTTGTTTGTTTGTTTGTGGAGACTGAGTTTCTCTGTGTTACAGCCCTAGATGTCCTGGAACTAGCTCTGTAGACCAGGCCAGGCAGGCCTTGAACTCAGAGTGCCTCTGCCTCCCAAATGCCAGGATTAAAGTGTGCGCCACTACTGTCTAGCCAGGGTTCTGTCCCCTCCCTCCCTCCCTTTCTTTTTGTTTTCCAAGACAGAGATTTTATATGTGTCTAGAGAGTTGGCTCAATGGTTAAGAGCACCAGCTGCTCTTGTAGAGGACCCATGTTCAATTACCAGCACCAGTATGACAGTTTATAACCATTTATAACTCCAGTTCTGGGGTATAATGCTCCCTTCTGACCCTTGAGGACACTATACACATGTGCACAGACATATATGCAGGCAAAAACACTCATATGCATTTAAACATTAAGAGAATTAAAAGAGAAAAATGTATTTTTATTGCATTTGTGAGGGTGTGTGCCTGTATGTGTTTATGTACCATGTGTGTACCTAGTGCCTGAGGAGGCCAGAAGAAGTCCCCTAGACCTGGAGTTAAAAAAAAAGATGGATATTTGTGAGTGATCATATGAGTGCTAGGAGCCAAACCCAGGTCCTCTGCAAGCGCTCTTAACCACTGAGCCATCTCTTCAGCCCACTTCTAGGGTTCTTTTATTTACACAAACCTGTATTTGGCATTATCCTATCAAGCAGCGACCTAGTTTTGCTGATTTGTTGGTCTTAATATACTTTTCTCCATGAAGAAATTTTAAATGTCACTATTTAAACTGTCTTTGTTCCTGATTCTGGGTTTGGTTTTTGCCCACAAGTGCTAGAATTACAGGCATGGGGCTACCTTGTTGGTTTTAAACACAAATATCTTTGTCATTAATCTTTTATGTTTTTACCCTTGGTGTTCTTTAGTAGAAGTGCATAGTTTTGAAAATAATTTTTTTCACCAATGTGGGGTGTGTGTGTGTGTGTGTGTGTGTGTGAGAGAGAGAGAGAGAGAGAGAGAGAGAGAGAGAGAGAGAGGGGGGGGGGAGAGAGCACTCGAGCACATGTGTATGGATGTCTGAGGAGGCCAGTAGAAGCTGTTAGATTCCTTGGTGCTGAGGTTAGTGATCAACCTCTTTAGTACCATTTTGTTTGTTTGCTTATTTTTTAAAGAACTCCTTCCCTACCTGCTACTAAATTTCTTGGTGCTTTGCTTATTGGCCACTAGTGACTAAGGTAAAACATTCTTTCTCTGTCTGTCTGTCTCTCTTGCTCTCCCTCTGCCTCTCAGTTAGTTATTCACTAGAGATCAACCCTGAGTATTGTTCTTAGGAGCCATCTACCTTGTCATTTTACTTAGGCTCTGTCACTGGGATCTGGCTCCTCTTGGCCCTCAGGTCTGGGATTACAAGTCTTCCAACACCATACTTGAATTTTTATGTGGGTTCTGAGAATTGAACTGAGTTACCAATACACAAACGCACACCTTTTATATTGCTTATTTGAGACAGGGTGTTATATAGCCCAAGCTGGCCTCTGTAACTGAGAATGGCTTTGAGTTTAATGATTGTGTTGCCTTTATTTCCCAAATGCTGGGATTACAGGGCATGCACCACTATACCCTGTTCTAATTAGTTTTTAAATTAATTTTATAGTGTGACTTAAGTACAACCTAATTGCATTTAGTTATTCAGTTCAGATGGAGTTTAGTTTTATACTAACATTTGATAAAGATCTGGTTTTATCTTCTGCAAATATGGCTTATTTTGTAAGGATTGGATCTGCCATCATTTTTAAATATAATTTTGGGAAAGCAAAGAGTTTGTAATTTTACTCTTACCATAGTGATCAAGATGGTTTTATAGCAGGACTTGACCTGAATGTTTTGTTGTTCTTTAGCTGAAGAGGAAGCAAATGAAGAAGATGTACTGGGAGATGAAACTGAGGTGAGTTGGGAAAGGTTAGTCACTGGATTGATAATGGTCATTGCTTTGGCTAAATTGTTTATTGTCAGTCCTTTGAGTTTTTAGGTGCCTAAGAGGAATCAAAGACTGGTTCATTTTGGAGTTCTTAGGTTGTCTCTTGATGGATATTTCTTTATTTTCCTAATAAAATGTAATTAATGTTTTTGAGCTAGGGTCTCATAGCCCAGGCTGTTCTCACATTCACTGTGTAGCTGAGGATAACCTGAGCTGCTGTTTGTTTCTATTCCTGCCTCTTGAATGCTGCCATGCCCAATTTATCTTTTTTTAAAAACTTGTTGTTGTTTGTTTGCTTTTTTGTTTTTGGAGCCAGGGTTTCTCTATGTAGCCTTGGCTGTCCTGGAACTTGCTTTGTAAACTAGGCTGGCCTTGAACTCACAGTGATCTGCCTGCCTCTGCTTCGTGTGTGCTACTGCTGTCCAGCTTAAAGTTAATTATTATTGTTATTGTTTCTTCACAGGGTCTTACTGTATAGTCCAGGCTGGTCTGGAACTCACAGAGATCCTCTTGCTTCTGCCTCTCAAGTGCTGGCTCTTAATGGATATTCTTGATTTATGCTAACCATGTTCTTTCATTTTGTTTTTAGGAAGAAGAACCAAAGCCCATAGAACTTCCTGTTAAAGAAGAAGAACCTCCTGAAAAAGCTGTTGATGTGTAATTATTCCTTTTTAATAATCTGGCTTTTTGGGGGGTATGCAAGAGACAGGGTTACTCTGTGTAGCCCTGACTGTCCTGGAACTCTCTTTGTAGATCAGGCTGTTCTTGAACTGTCAGAGATCCACCTGTCTCTGCCTCCCAGGTGCTGGAACTAAAGGCGTACACTACCACACCCAGCCCTTTTTAATAATCTAAATAAGAGCAGATAGTTCTATTTTTTGTTGCGCTAGTGTGGAAGATGATGTCAGGTGTCTTCTTTAATCACTCTCTACCTTAGTTTTCTTTCTGGTGTTTGTTTTTTGTTTTGTTTTGAGGGAGGGTCTCACTACATAGCTGTGGCTGCCCTTGAACTCACAGAGATCTGCCAGCTTGTGCCTCCTAAGTGCTGGGATTACAGGTGTGTGCCCAACTCCACCTAGTCTTTGAGATAGGTCTCTTACTGGCATGGAGGAGCTCACTCATTTGAGCTGAGTGACTGGCTAGTGAGCCCTAGGAATCTCATGTCTTTACCTCCTAGTGCTGAGCTTTTAGGTACCAGCTCCCCACCTGTCTTTTCACAGGGAGACTGGAGCTTGAACTCAGTCCCTTGGGCTTTGGGACGTTAGGCATGGTGATGTCATTAATTTTGAGACTGGGTCTTCTATTTAGCTCAGCAAGGCGTAGAACTCATAGTCAACCTGCTCTGCCCCTTGAGTGCTGCTATTACCGGTGTGTGCCAAAAGCTTTGTTAAGTGCATTTCGTTATAAAAGGTAGTGTGTGAACCTGGGTAAAGGATGTGAAGACACTGATGTCCCATGTCAATGCTCATCAAAGGGTGACCAGCTGAGGAGGAAGGAGTTCAGTAATGAAGCAGGTAGGATGAACCCTTCTGTGGACAGTCAGCCTCTCTCCTCAGCCATTCCTGTCATTGCCCAGGGTCCATGAACACAGTGGCCATGGTGGCAGAGATGAGGGTTATGCGTGGGCTCAACAGCATGCATTCGCCAAGGCTGTCGTGGCTACAGCTGCTGCTGATTCCCAGATCTGCCAACAGCAGAGACCAACACTGAGCCCCAGATATGGTATCCATTCTCTGGGGTGACCAGCCAGCAACCCTGTGGCAGGTGGATTACATTGGACCCCTTCCTCTGTGAAAAGGACAACTCTTTGTCCCTACCGGAGTGGATATTTGTTCTAGTTATGGATTTGCTTTTCCTGCACGTAATGAAGCCAAAATCACCATCTGTGGACTTACACGGTGCTTTGTCTGCTGACATGGTATCTCACACAGTATTGTTTCTGACCGGGGAACTCACTTCACAGCCAGAGAAGTGCCATAGTGGGCCCATGACCATGGAATCCATTGGTTTTACCTTGTTCCCCACCGTGCTGAAGCAGCTGGCCTGACAGAAATATGGAATGGCCTTTTGAACACAGTGCCAATTAGGTGGCAGCAACATGGAGGGCTGGGGCAGGGTTCTCCAGAAGGCAGTATATGCTTTGAGTCAATGTCCAATATATGGTACTGTTTCCCCCATAGTCAGGATGCATGGGTCCAGGAATCCGGGTGGAAACAGGAGTAGTTCTACTCACTACCACCCCTGGTGACCAACTAGGAATGTTTTTGCTTTCTGTTCCTACAACCTTAAATTCTGCTGGTCTAGAAGTCTTGGTTCCAGAGGTGGGAGTGCTCCTGTCAGGAGCCACAATAAGCATTCCATTGAACTGGAAGCTCAGACTTCCAGTTTGGGCTTCTAATGCCCTTTAACCAACAGGCTAAGAGGAATAACAGTGTTAGGAGGGGTGACTGATCCAGATTACCATGGGGAAATTGGATCGCCTCTCCATAGTGGAGGTAAGGATTATGTCTGGAGTGTAGGAGATCCTTTAGGGCATCTCTTGGTACTACCATACCCGTCGATTAAAGTTCGTGGGAAGCTACAACAGCCTAATCCAGGCAGGATGACAAAGGGCATAGACCCCTCAGGAATGAAGGTGTGGTCACTCCTGCAGGGAAAGAGCCAGGACCTGCTGAGGTGCTTGCAGAGAAGAAATACAGAATGGGTAGTAGATGGTAGTTACAAATACCATCTAAGGCGATATGTTCTGTTGTATTTTGTTAAGAATGCATTTGTAGAGATATTTGTGGTTTTTTTTTTTTTTCAATTTAACATCAAGAGAATATCAGTGGTTATCATATTTAAGTTTGAGGTACTAAAAGGATGTCCCTCAAGGGACATTGCCACCTATTCTAAATTTATAATGTGTTTGCATTTGCACATGGGATAGATATGTTTAGGTGTTATATGACCTATTGTTTTCACTTGGAAATTAATCATGATATAAGGAGATATGATTGTCAAGTTGATAAGGGGTGGACTGTGATGGCTGCTTGGTTGTCAGCTTGACTATATCTGGGATGAGCTATAATTCAGAAATGGAGGGCACACTTGTGATCTGAATCTTAAGGTTGGAAGACACAGGCTTTTGATCCTGATCTTGAGGTGAGAAGACACACCTTTAATCTGGGCCACACCTTCTGCTGTGATCCAGTATAAGGACAGTGGAAAGAAGAAGAGTTCTTTTGTTCTTCTGCTGCTTGTCTTCCCCTTGTTAGCACATCCTCCCTTCTCTGGCATTGGAGCCTAGCTTTTGGGATTCCAGCACATACAGAAGACCAGCTGAGACAAGCAGCCTCGTGGTACTGAGCAACTACTAGATTCTTGGACTTTCTGTTCATAGCTAGTCACTGTTGGATTAGTTGGACTGCAGCCTGTAAGTCATTTCAATAAATTACACACACACACACACACACACACACACACACACACACCTGTGTGTGCGTGCGTGCGTGTGTGTGTGTGTGTGTGTGTGTGTGTATGAGAGAGAGAAGGAGAGAGAGAATTTTCATCCTATGAGTTCTGTGACTCGAGAACCCTGACATTGGGGGAATGCTTTTTGTATGTGACTAGATGAATTAATCAGTGAAGAATGGAAATCTCCTATGAATACTTTGAGTGATGTGATATGTATTTATTGCCTGAGTTTATTGTGTCCAAAGGAATTGGTATGTAACATGAGCAAGTTTGCTCTTGGGTTCCCTTTTTACTTTAAGGTCTACTGTAATGATTGTTTTTCAAGATGTGAACATGGAGACTGAGATTATAATTTAGTTATAGAGAGCTTGCCTAGTATGTACAGAGCCCTGGTTCAGTCCGCAGCAATTCGTAAACTTGATGCACTGTTGTGTGTTTATAATTTCAGCATGAGAGAGGTGGAGGCAGAGGATCAGAGGTCAGAGTCATCCTCCAGTACTGGAGATACTGTCTCAAAAACAAAAAAAAAAACAAATGAGAATGTGAAAGCCATTATCTGAAGTTGATGGAGAAGACTGCCTCTGCCTTCCTCTTTTCTCCCGAGCCTTGGGATGTGTGCCGCCATACCTGGCTTTTGCCTCTCTGTCTTAATCAGGAAAGGTCACAGAACTTTGTTTAACCTGAAGTCTAATTTCATTAAAAGAACAGTGTTTTGGGGCCTAGTAGCCTATGCCTTTGGTTTTTTTTTTTTTTTTTTTTTTTTTGTTTTTCAGACAGGGTTTCCATAGGCCTGGCTGCCCTGGAATTTGTTACATAAACCAATCTGGCCTTGAATTCCCAGAAATCCTCTTGCCTCTGCCTCTCAAATGCAGGACTTAAACATGTGTTGGACCATGTCTAACTGTGGCCATGGTTTTAATCCCAACACTTGGGAAGCAGAGGGGGGCAGAAAATACAGGCTAATCTGGGTTACAAGATGTAGCCCTGTCTTCAGAAGAGAAGTAAGGGAGTGTGTAGTGTACATCTGTAATCTCAACACTGGAGAGGTGGAGGCAAGAGGATTAGGGGTTTGAAGATAGCTTTGACTTTATGTGGGAAGCCACATCTCGGACAGCAACAATGAAAAATGCAGTGAGTCTTGGTGAAATTTCTTAAACAGTCTGAATATTCCTAAGCTGATTTGAATCCCTTATATATTCAAAAGAAAATCTCTTTACATCATCTTTGGCCTGAAGTTATGTGTAAATACACTTCTATTTCTAGTTTTAAGAGCTTTTTTTTTTTCTCCCGAGTCAAGGCAGTTAAATATTGTAGGGCTTAGTTATGGTCAGCAGGGGGCATCTGTTGCTTGCTTGTTGGTCTGAGGACCTCCAACAAAAGGATGGAGGACAGAGTCAGGTCCTGTTCCAGAATTGCTTCCTCTGAAAATGTCATTAAACCATTACTACCTTTCAGGCCATCAAATGGGAAAAGTGTTTGGGATATTGGAACAAAAGCTGCCCATGTCTCTAAATAAGGGACCTTAATGAGACTGGTTATGACCCACGGTTTTATGGGAGTTGTTTGCTGGAGTTAATGCCCTTCCATTTATCCTGGGGACTTCCGAACTTTGTCTCCTGCCCCTGTGGTCCCCTTCTTTTGTTTTCTCTTAAACCTTTTGACCAGTAGCTCACCATGTTTTCCTAATTCAACACCCCATCTCCTTGGCCTTTTTTCTTCCCACTTCCTGTGGCGTTTTTATTTGTTCTGCTTTGGCTGTTTTAGCTAAGGCTAAAATCCCACGGGAGCAATAGGGACTTAAAAAAGAAGGAAACCAGGGTGTGTACATTACTGGCTAAATATTGTGATGAAAGTTGAAAGCATCTATTTAATTGAAGGTTGAAGAGAGAGTTTTTAGTTCAAAAGTAACTGTAAAGTTCATAAAAAGCAAATGGAATGATTTAGTCCCTTCAGCCCAGTACGTTTAGCTTAACTTCTTTGCTGATTACTTTCTTAAGCCTTAAAGTAGCTTAGTTTTATTTCAATCTTTTCCTCCCAGTAGATGACAGTTCAAGAAACCAGAGTTCTTGTGGACTTAATATTTCTTTATATTAGGGGTGGTAAACACATATGGGGCAGAGGTCATGACTCAGGTGAATTTTCACACATTTCTAAGGTTTTGGTTTAAAATAGCAGTTTTCTGATTTTTAAAAGATCTATCTTTTCAGCTGGGTAGTGGCAGCGCACGCCATGAATCCCAGCACTCAAGAGGCAGAGGCAGGGAGATCTCTGAGTTCAGGCCAGCCTAACCTGGTCTACAGAGCTACACAGCGAAACCTTGACTAGAGAAACAAAAACAAACAAACAAAATCTGTCTTTTACAGGGCATCAGAAAAGAAGGTGGTAAAGATTACATCTGGAATACCTCAAACTGAGGTAAGCATTCTTAGTATGGATCCCTCTCTCCTCTCGTTCTTTTGTTGTTCATGGGGTGGGGTTGGGGATGCTTGAGTGCAGTGGTGCACAAGTGGAGGTCAGGACAATTTCAAGAGTTTGTTGAGGTGGGGGGGTCTCTATCTCTCTTTAAAAACATTTTTAAAAATTCAAAATTTTTATGTGGTGCTTGTGGGTGCATGCTTGTGTGCATGTTTAAGACAAGTTGGAGGGATTGGTTCTCTTCTAGCATGTGGGTTCCAGAGATCAAACTTAGTCATCCAGCTTGGTAGCAAACCCACTGAACTGTCTCCCTGGCCTATTTGTGGTCTCCTGTTTCTGCAGCTGTTTGTGTGCCTCAGGCTAACTGGCCCGTCCCTCGAGCTTCCAGCAGATCTACCATCCTGCACTGGGAGTGTTTGGTTTATAGATGTGTACTAGCACATTTTACGTGGTTCTCTTTTTTATGTGGGCTCTGGGGTATTCTAGTTCAGGTTATAAGACTTGCACAGCATGCACTTTCACCCATTGAGTTCCTGTTTTTGTTTTTTTGAAACAGCATCTTATTGTGTAGCTTAGGCTGGCCTCAAACATAATCTTTCTACTTCAGCCTCCTAGGTGCTAGGATTCTAGGAATGTGTCACTATGCCTGGCCATCTGTTTTTAACCCTTTCTTCTATCTGCATCATTTGAAATGTTTCATTTAGGGCTGTTAAATTGGCTCTGTGTGTAAAGGTGTGAGAAAGGAGCACACTGAGTTACATGTGCTGTAGCATAGATGCATACAGCCATACATGTATACAAAATTAAAAAGAAGTACATGTAAAACATTGATCCATAGACAAATTCTCTATTGACAATTGATGTTTCTTTCTCTACCTACTCAGGAAAATACTTTGGCTGTCATAGTGAGTAGTTATCTTTAAAACTGTCATCTGTTACATACACCATTATGGTCTTAATAGTAATTTTACAGGCATAGGATTAGAGTTTGAGCAGATTGTGTCTTGGAAAAATAAGAAAAGCAGTTGTTCCCTTTAAGTTGGTAGTTGGTGAGGGTGAAATTTCTTTGGAATCTTCTTTCAAGATATATGAAAACAGGTTTCATTTGAGATCTCTTGTTCAAGAGAGGGTTTTGTTTGTTTGCTTTGGTATTTTGAGACAGTGTTTCTCTGTGTAGCCCTGGCTGCCCTGAAATTCACTCTGTAGACCAGGCTGGCCTTGAACTCAGAGATTACCTGCCTTTGCCTCCTGAGTGCTGGGATTAAAAGTGTGCACTGCCACTGCTCTGCTCAAAGTAGAAATTTACTAAATTATTTTAGAATTCAGTGAAGTAGTGTTTTTTAACTGTTAAATTGCATGTCCTGGAACCAAGACGTTTTTTTATCTTTTTTTACAGAGAACCAAATACAACTTTTGTGTTCTGGGGTTTGTTTTTGAGAATGTGAACATAATAATAGTGTGGGTGTGTGCGTGCATGCTCGAGTACTTTCTAGAAACAGTTGTTGTGCTAAGCCTAAGGATGGATACTGCTAATGTGTCGGTGTTTTCAGTTAGACTAAGAAATGACTAACTTTTTTTAAAACAAGAAATTACAGTTTTCTCTTCATCTTTATTTACCATCACTTAGAGAATGCAGAAGAGGGCTGAACGATTCAATGTACCTGTAAGCTTGGAGAGTAAGAAGGCTGCGCGGGCAGCTAGGTGAGTGTTTCTAGCCCTTTGAACACAAGGTGGAGATATTATAAAGATTCAGGTCAGATCTTCGTTTCTAGACATCATTGTTAATTTTAAGTGGAGCAGAGTTCTCACTAAAATTAATGGACATAGTTTGGGCCAAAACATTTCTGCTGATTTGAATATAGTAGCTGTGTATTGGGTTTTGTCATCATCAGTTGGGGTTTTTATGATAGGTAAAAGTCAGGAACTGACAGCTGCTCCTGAGTCTAAGGACTTCTTTTAGTATACTCTTGGACTCTTGGTGAGAAGGAGAGTAAACTGAACCTTTTTCATGGGGTTGTTAGAATTAGCTAATGATTGCAAAGTTTGAGATCACAAGGAAGACGTGTCATGTACCCCGACACGGACACAGACAGCTAAGAGTGTGAACAGCTTCCTAAAATTCAGCTTGTCTTTGCTTCCTACAGGTTTGGAATTTCTTCTGTTCCAACAAAAGGTGAGAATATTTTCTTTCTGAGAAAGTTTACTTCTTTGTTTTTTGTTTTGTTTTGTTTTTGATAGTAGATTTCACTCCTCCAAATAAAGTAAATTTGTTAGCTCTAGAAGCCCTTAAGAGTTGTAGCATTTGCACGTCTAAGACAGCAGGCATAGTTAAGAGAAGGTTCTGAAATCATGAGGAAGGGGAACTCAGCACTTGTCTCCCTTCCTAGGACATCTGAGAAATTTCTAGTCCTTTGTTACTTATTTCTGTGTCTTATTAGCATGACATTATGGTGCACTTTTTCAGTGCTCTAAACTAACATAAGTGCTAAAGTAAAGGAGACTATAGTAATTTCACAATTTTACATTTATGGATCTAACAAAGAAGTAATCTTTGATATACTTAGACTTAGCCATAAAGCTTGTGTTATTATCATAGATATTGATTAATAATTGGAAAAATATATCTAATACAGGAATAATTAAGTGTATACTATAGTATAGTAGACTATGTAGAATGTTAAAGTGACATTTTAAGGGCTGAGGAGGTGGCTCTGTGGGTAAAATGCTTGGGAGTTTGAGCCCCAGAACGCGGATTTAAAAAACAGCAGGATATGGTGGTGTGTACTTACAGCCCTGAGCAGGCAAAGGCAAGGGGTATTCCTGGGACCTTCTGGCCCGCCATCCTGCCTAATTAATTAGTGAGCCTTAGGCCAATGAGAGTCCATCCCTTGTCTCAATAAAAAAAAAAAAAAAAACAAAGTGGATAGAGTCTGAGGAATCATGCCTCAGGTTGTGCTAGGGACTCAGGGTCCCAGTTGCAGTTTGGAACTGATAATTATCATTGTGTTTAGTGGTACTTACAAGTAACCCAAGTTCTTGAGGGTGGACAAGTGGGCGAAGGAAGGTTTGGGGTTTGAGGTCATCCTCTGCTGTGAAAATACTGTGTTAGTTGCTTTTCTGTTGTGGCAAAACATCGTGATGAAAAACAACTTGAGGAAGAGTTTATTTTGGCTAAGGGTTCCAGAAGGTTAGGAGTCCACCATGGGGTAGGCACATAGCATAGAGAGTGAACTAGAAATAGGCTAGGCTTTTTTTCCTCAAAGCCAGTCTCCAGTGATACTTCCTTCAGCAAGACCACACTCCTGAACCCCCTTAAACACCATTTCCAGCAAGGGACCAGGTGTTCAAATGTCCTCGTTTTTAGGTGACATTTCTCTTTCAGACCACCATACATATAAACAGTATGTAATTCACTGGAGTTCTTAGTTTAATCATAGGTTTTTGCAACATTACAGCGAGTCTGATACTTACTACCCACAAAAGAGAATTTTTGTACATATCATCAGTCATTCTTCATTCCCTCTTCTACCCCAGTGCTTAATTTACAATCTTTTTCCTGTAGCCTCCCTGTAAAATTACACATCTGCACCACTGGGTCTGTTCTGTATGCTCATTTGTTTATATTTTCAAGACAAGGGTTTCTCTGTGTATCCTTGTCTGTCCTGGAACTGTCTTTGTAGACTAGAATGATCTCGAACTCAGAGATCTACCTGCTTCTGCTTCCCAAGTGCTGGGATAAAGGCCTGCTCCACCTCCACCCGGCGTGTGTGTCTTCCCTGTTTGTGAATAAATAGTCCTTTGCCACTGAACATCATTCTCTGCCTAACACGTTTCCAGGATTGATATTAAAGAATATTTCATTTCTCTTATTGCTTATAATACATTCCATTATATGGATATGTTCTAATTTATTTAACCAGTTATCAGTTGATAATTGCTTATTGCTTTCACTATTTGTCTGACACAATTAATGATGCTGTGAATATTTGTCTTTAAGTTTTTGTATGGGTGGATGTATATTTTTCAGTTTTTTGAACCCATGTCTAGAAGATAACTTACGTGGAGTTGGTTTTTTTTCACCTTTACTTGGACTCTGGGGATGAACCTCCAGGCTTGCGGAGCAAACACATTTCTTTACCTGCTGAGCCATCTCACCAGCACCAGTGTCAAATTCTTAATAACCACAAAAGAATCTGGAAGTCACTTATAAATTCTGTTTGTAGGTATTGTCCTATTTTGAACCAGTTAATTTGATTTTGAGACAGTCTCAGTATGTTTAAGGTTTTTATCTTGTGTGTCATGTTTGTGCTTTTAATTTGATTTGAAGATTTGATTTTATGAGTTTTAACAATAATAAATAATTAAACATTTTTCCCCCTTAGGTCTGTCATCTGACACCAAGCCTATGGTATGAAATCTTTTTAACTCTTACAAACCAATCTTAATCCCATGTAGTTTTAAAGATAGAGTCTTTGCCAGGTTAGAGGAGATTCCAGGTTATGAGCTTGGTTGCTGTTTCCAGTATAGTGTGCCTTGAGTTTTAAGTGTTTGAAGTTTGGGGAAGATAGAAAATTTGCCACATCTTCAACTTGCTATAACATAACCTTCTTTCCTACGAGCCATCAATTTGAAAGAGTATGTAGATTTTTGTTAGCTAAAAGATAACCCTCAAGTTTTAGGCCTTACAGCTTTTGGTAGTGCCTAATTTTTCATTATTTATTTGTTTGTTTATTGAGATAGGAGTTCTCTGTGTAGTTCTGGCTGTCCTGGGACTCATTCTGTAGACCAGGCTTGCCTTAAACTTGGAAATCTACTTGCCTCTGCCTCCCAAGTACTGGGATTAAAGGTGCACACCACCAGGCCTGGCTTAAAAAACAAACAAACAAACAAACAAAAACCCACTTTATTTAAGGTTTGTTTTTGGAGACGGGCATGCCACAGTTCCTGTGGTGATCAGAGGACAGCCTTGTGGAGTTGGGTTTTTTCACCTTTACTTGGACTCTGGGGATGAACCGCCAGGCTTGCGGAGCAAACACCTTTCTTTACCTGCTGAGCCATCTCACCAGCATCAGTGTGTCTGGCCCCTTTTTTTTTTTTAAGATTTATTTGTTTGTTTTATGTATGTGAGTGGTCTATTTGCATATATATCTGTAAGCCAGAAGAGGGCATCAGATCCCACTATAGGTGGTTGTGAGCCACCATGTGGTTGCTGGGAATTGAACTCAGGACCTCTGTAAGAGCAGCCAGTGCTCTTAAGGGCTGAACTGTCTCTCCAGACCCACCCCCCAGTGTCTGAATCTTAATAACTACAAAGAATCTGTGAAAGCAACTTAATAAATTCTATCTATACTGTTTTTGTTGTTGTTGTTAAATTAGTCAGTTAATTTTTTGAAACTGGTTCTCTTGACTCCTCGGCTAACTTGGGTCTTGCTTTTAGCTGAGGATGGTCTGAACTTCTGGTCCCCTGCCTCTGTCTCTAGAATGCTGGGACCCCAGTCCACGCCATATGGTACTAGGGATCAAGCCCAGGGTGCATGCTAAGGAGGTACTTTACCAGCTGAGCTACATCGTCAGGCTTTTGTCTCTTAAAAGCCAGGCATGGTGGTGCATACCTTTAATCCAGCACCTGGGAGGCAGAGAATCATAAAATTCAGGGTCAGTGGTCCACATAGTAAATTCCAAGCAAGCCAAGGCTACAAGGTCAGATGTCATTTAAAAATATATATATATATATGTGTGTGTGTGTGTGTGTGTGTGTAAAAATTAAATATATACACAGTTATATGTGTATATATATAGTTATATATACATATATATGAGAGGAAAAAAATGTAGAACTAGAGTAGTATTCTGAACCATTGTGGTGGCTACTTAGCATGTTTTAAAAATAGAAATGTGTTGTGATAAAATAAATTATTCAACTCTGAAATCCTGCTGCAGTTAGTGTCATAACTGAAATATTTTATTACTCTTATGTTCTGAATAGTCACATCAAAAGAAAAGAATTGAGTTGAGCAGTATCATTTGTCTTTTAAAGCTGAGAAATTTGTCTTTGCTTGAAGATAAAATTAGGAATCACTTAGCAGAGTTTAGGCTGACAGTATATGCTTGTCATCAGCATTCAGGAGGCTGAGGCAGGAGGATTGCTGCAAGTTTGAGGCCATGCTAGGTTATGTAATGAGTTTAAGGCAACTTGGGCTTCATAGTGGGAGGGAAAGCCTTTCTCAGAAACTAAAAACCGGTCACACAACAAATTACTTTTAGAGATTGTGGTCGGGATTCATGAATTGAAGCTGTGAATGGTGCACTCATTTTTAGAGGTAATGGTTTGTGTGTCTGGTAGGTTTGCAAGCAGGGTTTGGCTTACTTTGCTCTTGATCCCTCTTAGGCTCTTGCCACCAGATGAGTAAAGAAGTTAGAGCTGAATCCTTCACCTTCACCACATTTCAGGAGAGGCTTTTTATTATCATTGGGATAAGTAGGGTTCACTTGGTTCCTGAGTTTGCCACATAGGGTATGTTTGATATCAGTAGGTTTATTTGAACTCAGTTTGGGACCACAGTTTCTGCCTTCTCTTTATTTTATTCTTTTTTTTTTTTTAATGTATCTCTATTTTTGTAGGTTAACCTGGATAAACTAAAGGAAAGAGCACAGAGATTTGGTTTGAATGTCTCTTCCATTTCTAGAAAGGTAATATATGTTGCTGTAACTACTGTTTTTAGAATATTACAACAGCCTGGGAAGCCTGTACAGATTGGAAATGACTTTTGTGAAATCATTTTGTAAACTTGGCTTTTTAGCACTTCATTTTTATAAGTCATTTGAATACCATTGCCTTACTTGGAAACTATATCATATGAACTGCTAACAAAATAATTTAGAACTATAGCTTGTACCCAGACTACTAAAACACAGCCTGTTTCTCTTTGGTACATTGTTGAATATAGGGAGGCAGGTTGGTCTCAGTAGTGATATCCTGTCTTTAAAGACAGTGTGAACTATAGTAATGTTCAAGTGTGCTTTAACTATTCTGATACAGTTATAATGGGAATTAAAGAGAAAACAGGTACCTACAATAGAATTTGCAGTTTATATAGAACAAAAATAAGGTATTTTTTTCCCCCTGCTCATCTGCTAATTGATACTCTAGTTTTTTTTTTTTTTTTTTTAAGCAAAATAACTTTGTTAATACCATTCTGGGGTGACCACTTCTCCAAGGCATACTTGACTTTGAATTTTGATAGGTATGTTGGAAAAAGTGATTAAAAACTCTCCTTTTTCCTTACTGTTTGTGTTAATTTTCGTTTTGTGAGACTGGAAGCACATTTCTTAGTTTAAATGGTAGTAACAAGCTGAGTCAAAGCAGAAAAAAAATAGCACTTAGAACACCTTTTGGGGCTGGAAAGGTAACTCAGATGTTACGAGTGCATTATTCCTTGCTGGCTCAGACCATCTGCGCTCCAGCTGGAGAGGATTTGATGCTGGCTTCTGACTTCCCTGTGTCTGCACATGCAGACACTGGATAAGGGCATCAGGTTCCCTCTGTTTCTGCCTTATTTCTTTGAGTCAGTATCTCCTGAACATGTAGCTCATATTTTTCTCCTGTTTTGGCAGTCAGGAAGGCTCAGTGATTTTGTTTACATGCTCCCAGAGTGCTGGGATTGCAGGTGTAAGTGAGATTGCTCCTGGCTTGATCTGGCTTGACCATTCCTGGTTGCTAGAATCTGAACTCTGGGTATTCATATTTGCATAGCAAATGCTCTTTATCACTGAGCCATCTCTCCATCCTTTTGGCTTTTTTTGTTTAATTTTTTTGTATGCATTTTGTTGTTGTTGTTTTCTACAAATATGTGTAGGTGGATAAGTGCCATGGTACATGTGTGGAGGTCAGAGGACAGTTTGTAAGATTCAGTTCCTTTCCCACCATCTTGGCTCTAGAGTTTAAATTCGGGCCATCTGTCTTAGCTTATTTTAATTTTATGTGTATGGTTGTTTTTATCTGCTTATATGTCTGTATACCACTTTTGTGCCTACTGCCCTGTGAGGGCCAGAAGAGGGTGGCAGAATTTCTGTAATAGGAATTACAGATAGTTGTGAGCCATCATGATGGTGCTGGGAATCAAACCGGGGTCCTCTGGAAGACCAGCCAGTGCTTAGCCGATGAACTCTCTCTCCAGCTCTCTCCAGCTCCTGCAATGAGCTATCCTCCTAGCCCTTTTTTGGACATAGGAGCCGGATAGGGGCTAGCCCAACAGATAATGCATATCATCAAGCTATTAATCACTTCCAGTTCTCAGCTTTCTGGATGGAAGAACAGGTTTTACGTCTTTCCCATTGGAGAGACATCTTGTGTTCCTTAACATTCTTGATTTCTGTGGAGGTCTGTGGGCACAAGGACCATCATACTGTGCTCCCAACATTCTGCAAAACCAACAAGTGCTCTTTTGAGTTATATTTCCAGTCCCAGTTCTTGTATTCCTAGTACCTCCTTTTATTTGATAGTATTTAAGCCTTACATGACAGGTTGATATGCATGTCCCATTTAAGGCTGAACATTCTCAGCATAGTAACTGGTTATGAGTCAGTGCATGACTGCCGCATACTGCAAAAAAAGCAGCTTTTTTGACTAAGATTGAGAGCAGTAGCAGCCTATGAGTATAAATATAAGTGTTTAGAAGATAGTTTGACAATGTGTCCATTTAGCAAGTCAACAATTGTGGGTTTCCCACCTAGTGATTGTGTCTTCCCTTGCCATGCGCTTTTGACCTGGGTTATAGTACAAGGTGTGAATTCCCACATATGGAACAGTTCTGGAAATCAGTCAGAAAGCAGTTGTCAGCTCCAGCAGCACCTGTCTTTGTGCTCCTAGCTGTCTTGTGGCCCAAAAGTGTAATTCTTAATGACAAAGTAGTAGTTTTCTACTGGGCTGTTTTATACATCCTTAGCTTTGGTTAACCACTCCTCCATTTCCTCTCCTTCCCCATGCCCCTCACTCCCAACCCCACTTACGCTTTTAACATCCTGTCCCCTCTGGTTTCTACGAACCCCAACATACTTTCAAATCACACGTGCTCTACTGTTCCATCTGCTTTAAGGCCCTTTCCCCGCCTCCTTATGATTATGGGCCAAATTAAACAAATTCATAAGTTTGAAGTTAGAGTCCTCATGTGAGAGACAACATGTGGCCATTGTCTTTCTGGGCCTGGGCTGTCTCATTGAATGTAATGTATTCCAGTTCTACCCTTTGTTCTGTAAATTCGTTTATAGATGAACAAAATTCCCCTGTGTGATCCACGTTTTCCTTGTCCATTTATCAGTGGTGGACTTGTGTGATTCCTAGTTATTGTCAGCAGTGCAGCTCTGAACAAGGATGTGAAAGCATCTTTGTCATAGGTTATTGATCACTTACAAGGGAAGGCTACTTAATTTTTTATTGTAATTTTTCGAGATTATGATTATATCATTTCCCCCTTTCCTTTTTCCATCCTACCCATGTGCCTTCCCTCTTGCTCTTTCTTAAATTCATGGTCTCCATAGCTATTAAAGTAACATGTACATGTTCCTGAATATGTACATGCAACATGTTCAGTTTGTATAATGTCACATGCATATGTATATTTTTAGGGCTGACCATTTGGTATTAGATAATCAATTGGAGTGCTTAATTGAATGTATGCAGGTTTGTCATCTGTAGCCTTTATTATGTTGAGCTACAGTCCTGTTCCTAGATTCTTCAAACTTTGTATTATTAAAGACTTATTTTATCTTTTGTGTTTTGCCTGCAAGCATGTAAATGTACCATATGATGTGTGCAGTATGAGGATAGAGGATAGTGTCAGATACTGTGAAACTGCAGTTATGGGCTGTTGTGAACCAACAGATGGGTGGTAGGAACTGAACTGAGGCCCTCTGCAAGAGTCACAAATGCTCTTGCTGAGCCATCTCTAGACAAATTTTGCAGATGTTAAACCTGAAGGACGTTAGATTTTTGTCAAGAACCTTTCTGTGTCTGTCAAGATGACCATGTGATTTGGTCTGAAACGTTCTGCCCTTAAACTTACAATGATCCACCAGTTTGCGCCTCAAGTGCTGGGATTAAAGGCCTGGGTCACCATGCCTAGCCCATTTATGTAAAATAAAACATTTATTGATTTAAGTATATTGATCTCTGAAATAAAGGCAACTGGGTCATAGTCGGTGTTTTTCATTAGTTTTTAAATGCTGTTTGCAAATATCTTTATGAGAATGTTGATTAGGAAAAAGAGTTTGGTTATGTTCCTTTTCTGTTTTGGGGAGTTTGAGAAACATTGTTGGTGTTCTTTGGAGGTCTGGTAAAATTCACTAGTGAATAATCCCAGCCTCCTCTAGAGGAGGTCCTTCATCAGGTCTGTCAGGGATAGACAGTGACACCCTGTCTCAAAAAAACAAGCAAACAAACAAGCTGATGCGTGGGAATTGTAAAGGTATAACCTTGGTAATGGGATAGACCCTCCCAGGAAAACAAAAATGTCCCTGAGCAGTGCCATACCGAGGCTTACTTTTCTAGTAGTTACTGAGTGTGATGGCAGTAATAGTTATAAATATAGTCTAAGGTGTTCTGTCAAAATCTAGAATGTGCTAATTTCTTTCCTCACCTCCATATTCTATGACTTTTTTGTGTTATGTTTTGTTTTTTTGTTTTATTTTTTGTTTTTGAAACAAGATCTCTTACGGCCTGGCTATCTTTGACCGTGCCATTACTTGAGGCTGACCTCCAGCTGGTCCAGTGCTTCTGCCTGCTGCTCCACCCAGATGCTAGTTCCTGGTTCCTGTTTGTGGGGTTTTATTTTGTCCTTTTTAATTAATATTTTATTCAAATCTTACCTTTTAATTTTCAGAGCAGATTCTTAGGACAGAAATAGAAATATCTTTGCAGTGTTCAGTATTTGGAGTATGTATAAAATCTTGAATTTTCAAATTCCTAGCAGTGAAGATATCTTTTATTTATACCTGTTTATTTTTAATTTTTTATATTTATTTCGCAGAAACATTGAGATTGTTTGAAATGTTTAGTGTGGACTCCAGAGAATATTTTGGTGTAGAATTAACTAGGATATAACACAGAAGCTATTACAGAAAACTCAGTGTCATGCCATTGTGAAGAAGAGATTCTGTAGAAGGTGCAGTTGAAAATGAACAGTATTATGAGGGGGCACTCATTAGTGTTCTAGAATAGCATGTGTCTCGGAGAAACCCCTTCCCCCTACTTTATTGACACCTGTTTCTCTATCATTTTTGAAAGGTCTTTTCATGGTTGAATCTAATTATCCTACTCTTGACCCTGCACAAGTGTGTCCTGATTTTTTTTGTCTTTTTAAAAGTAGTTCATTAATTAACTTTTAGAGCTGTAGTTTGCTGTTTTGCTCAGGGTGCTCTCAATTTCCAGATTCAAGCCTTTGACATATTTTTGTTTGTTATAATTATGAAAGATTCTCATTGCCTCTCTGCTTGAATTCTAGGATTGTAATAGGGTATCTATGATTCTTTCCTAGCCTTTTTTTTTTCCTTTTAAAAAATTTTATGTGTGTGTATATTTTGCTTGCATGTATGTCTTTGTATGTGTCTAGTGCCCTTGCAGACCAAAGAGGGCGTTAGATTCCCTAGAACTGGAGTTAGAAATGATGCGTTCTGGCAGTTGAACCTGGGTCATC